AGCGTGAGGACGTCCAGCGTCGTTTAGACAACCAAAAGTAATCTAAAAATCATCTGGTAGACAGCCACTAGATGAGGACTTAACCCTGCAAGGTAATATTGCAGTTTATAAAAACTGCAATAATTACACTTGCAGGGTTTAGAGTGATGGGAGTTGGCACCCAGGCCATTTCAATGGGCAGAAGTGGTTTGGGTCCATTTAACTATAATGATCACACAATTTCCTGGACTTAAAATTAAAAAAGTTTTAAAAATTGCTCAACTCACTCTTTTTTTTTTAAAGTCTGAAAATAAAAGCCCTTTTATTATACATATTCAAACTTGAGACACAAGTCACTAGCAAAAACAAATGGGGCCGTGCAGTGTGGCCATTAGATTAATATATGTTTCTACAATGTTAATGAAAACCATATGTATACCAGTATCATTGTTGAATTATAGGCTTAAAATGCTTAAGATTTATAGCTAGCAGTCTGATAAGTCACAGTTGAATCAGAACTACCCCACATATTGCTCTGGAATAATAAAATGCAATGTGTGTGCAAAAATATAATTTTCTACAATTAAAGTGCTAACTATGTGGATTGATTCATTTTGAATGAAAGACCTTTTTTTTTTTTCTTACAATAGTGCACTGAATCTTGTTGCTTCCTAAGTTTAGACCTGTAACAAGAGGGAACTGGTGGGGACTGATACAGAGGACAATGCCCTGCATTCACAAACCTGGTAGCCAATCAGATGTCTGAGTGGTAGGCTGTTCTGGTCATTATACAGCAGCTTGTGGGGGCACTGAGCGGAAACTCTGATAAATTATGCATATTTAAAGATTTTTGTTTTTAACATTTTATTATTAATTTAGAAGTGTCAAGAAAAACTACATTATACTCTGGTTTTTATGGCAGAAATTTAAAGAAAATATAACAAGAAAGGATTATAAATGTTTGTAGTTACTACATTTATTAACGATTAGTTGTAGCTGCAGAGAGATCACACCCTTTAATATAATGTAATTCCCTACAGGAACTGATGGACTAGTGTGGTTATTTACTAAAATATAAATTGTGGTGAAATGCAAACCCATCTGGAATGTTAAAGGATCACTATAGTGTTAGGAACAAAAAAACTGTATTCCTAACACTGTGTCCCTCTGCCTCCCCCATCATGAAAGGGTTAAAACACCTTTTTTTTCCATTTATCTAATTCCAGCGCCAAGACGCCTCTGCACTAGCTCGGTCTCCTCCTCCCGCAACGTCATGGCGATGAGGAACCTAATGCGCAGTGAGCATATTATGGCACCCCCATAAGGAAGCATGATATCAATACTTTTCTTTAGGGATCTTAAAGACTCTGAATGTCCTAATGCAAAGTGTGAGGACGTCCAGCGTCATTTCACATTGTTAAAGGGACACTGTAGGCACCTAGACCACTTCAGGTCATTGAATTGGTCTGGATGAAAACTCCCATCACCCATAACTCTAGAGTGGTAATTATTGCAGTTTTTTGAAAACTGCAATAGGTACCTGTTAGGGTTAACTCCTCCTCTAGTGGCTGTCTACCAGACTGCCACTAGAGGGACTTCCGGGCTTAAAGGCGAATTTTGGTCGCCTAAACAATGCAAGACGTTCTCATTCTATGCATGATGACTTCCAGCGTCACCGGAATCCCCATAGGAAAGCACTGAATAATGCTTTACTATGGGGAAATCCTAATGCGAGCTCTGCCTTTGCCGTGCTTTGGGTCTACCCTTCCGGCGGACGTTAGTGGAGGAGGAACATAGGCAGAGCTGAGCCAGTGCCACGGGACATCGGCACTGGACCAAGGTGACAGAAGGGGTTATTAACCCCTTTCTGTACCATGGGGGGGGGGTCAGGGGAGAGGGGACATTGACAAAGGGGGAAGCTATAGTGTCAGGAAAATTAGTTTGTTTTCCTGGCACTATAGCTTCCCTTTAAACTCTGTGTGAATTGAGAAAGCGGCTCTAGTGGCTCTCTGGAAGACAACTACTAAAAGCAGTCTTAACAGTTTCTCTAACGCGGCAATGTTTTACATTGAGGGGACAGGGGCACTCAACCCAGACCACTTCAATGAGATTAAGTGGTCTAAGTGCCTATAGGGTTCCCATACGGCTAAAATAACAGAGTAGAAAGAATTCGCCACTTTGTTACTTTAACTACTAAAAATTCAGTGTTTAGTGTGCAAACCCTTAGAGGTGCTCCTGTCTATGGATTGATAGCATGATAAAACGGACTGCATATTGATAGCCACTCCCTCTAGCATGTAAGCTCATCGAGCATGCCCTCAACCCCTGTGTTCCTCTGCGTCCAACTCGTCCAGTTACAATTATGTTTTGTTTGTCCACCCATTGTACAGAACTGCAGAATTTGTTGGTGCTTCATAAAAAAATAATAATAATAGCTGTTTTGCCATATGAGTTTAGTCCCTATTTGACTTAATTCATTAGCTGAGAATCTCTCGGTCAGTGAATTACATTCTGTGATGGACAGAACTGCCATGTCTCAAGTGGAAGGTAAACTTTGTTCAAGCAAGATCAGAGGAGTGTCACTGATCGCGAGCACCTGAGAGACCCAGATAAGTGTCAAATAATTTAAAAAACTGATTACTTACTAGACTTATGCACAAATGTGTTTCAGATGGGTCCAAAAAAAAAAAAAAATCTAATTCCTTTTAATCTACGCCTGAACTAACCAATACATCCAATATTTACCTGTAAAGCTTCATTCATTGAAAAAGAATTCCACAGGAAAGTCCAAGATGGATTACTTTGTTCGTGTATAAAATAAAAGGAATTTGATTTATTTCACCCACCTGAAACATATTTGTGCACAAGTGTATTACTTACTCCAGGCTGTAGTGGGCATGGTGTTAAAATTGTCCCTGTACTATGCATTGTCCTTGTTCAGGTTCACTTACTCTTCTTGGTTTTGGCTCCTATCTCTTATTAGCTACATTTATCTGCTAACAAAAATCACTGCTTGTTAAAAACACCAAATGTGGGAAAACTTTTTTTTTTTTTTTTTTAAATCCGCTGTGGAGGCGTGGGGGGATGGCCACCATTTTGAAATTTGGATTTTCATTTGCTACAATTTGAAGTTTAGGGAATAACTCTGCAGGCTTTGTGGGATTAATGATTTAAGCACGGATAACTCAGGCTAACGGTTGCTATTGATACTTTGATCCACATGCTGGGAGACAGCTCCAATGACTATAATGTAATCGTATAAAACAGACACAAAATCAGAAGGTGAATAAAACGAACTATAACCACCCAGCTGTAAACGTGGGTGGCTTGTACCTAAAACACTCACTCGGTTGTTTTAATAAAAGTAAATATCACTACAGGGGAAAAAATTAAATACATACTAACTATATATTTGGCCGCACAGGTAAGAGCACAGAACTAAATACATTTTCAACCAAATTTGAGGGCTTTATTCTCTAAATATCTTATTGTAGTGAATTAAAAATCAAATTGCAAAAACTCTGGCTACAACACAAAAACAGAGGAATGTTTTATTTCCCTGAAAAAAAACAAATCTGTATCTTTTCCCTAAATTCTAACATTTGTCTCAGAATTCACTACAGTTCACTGTTTAGTAAATAGTTCTCCACTCCTGACTCTACTCATGAACATGTTGCTGCCTCTTTAAGAAGCCAGTCCACTGAGCTGATAAGAGAGTCAAGAGCGGCAGCAGGAGCTGTAGCCTTAGGGGGGAAAGTGACATCCGGCCCAGTGAGGAGGGGGGATGCTTAGCTTGTGCGTCTCCTGGATTGGCTTGTAGCCACTAGGTGCCTGTATATCAAGCCTGTCATTCTAAATAGAACCATCCGCCCTATTGGCCGTTACCAAGCGTGTCCTCTGCAAACCCCAGCAGTGCCCTCTGCAGCTTTACAGGCAGGTTGTGGGAAGGAGGAGGAGGGGAGAAGGGTCACTTAACTCCTTCACTGCCTGACAGCATTGTGCAGCTGATGTCACATTTAACCCATTTAGTCACTGGGCTGTGGATTAAAATAAGGTAGAGTAGCAGTAACAGCCAGGAGGGAGAGACCCTCACCCACCCCCCTCCCTCCCTATAAATCTAACCTTGGCCAACCAGGGGTTAATGTGTGCCAAGCACCCATGGAGGTCTTTGTATAAGGATGAGCGGAGATTAAAAGGGATTTACACGAGTGGGCAATTAATAATTACACGCACCAGTTAACCCACAATAAGCTGCCTGCAGTCTCTCCGGCTGTAGCTGGACTGCATCTCTCAGTATCCGCAACTTGATGAGCATAGATAGATTAGCAGGGGGGAAGCTTCCAAGCACCCACAGGTGTTTTCACCCTTTGAGTTACAGAGGCTCCCCTAACGTATTGCATAACATTATTGCCCTAGGCACACGTGTCGTGTGGCATTTCAAAGGTTAATCCCAGAGTGCCTCGGGGGATCAAAAACCTTGTTATAGTGGATTTACTGGAAAATCCTTTCTAATATGATGTGGAGTAAACACTACTGAGAGCTTTGTACCTGTAATGGTTAATGGGGAGATGATTACACGTAATTAACAATGTACTCCATGATAATAATAATAATAATAATAAACATGGCTTAAACATGGTGTGAACTCAATGCACAATAATAGTGAGGTTAACCCTTGCCATTCCAGCTGGTGTGAGCTACCTACCACTAAATGATCAGCCGGGCATCAAAGGAATTGTAGTCAAAAGATGCTTGCCATTGAGTGTCATGATGTAAGAATTAAATGTTTTAGTAATTGTAACTGGAATTGTACCGATTTAGAAATTACAAAAAAAAAACAACCTGTGCTCTTTTCCCAGCTCGTTCATCTTTTTGCAATTCCCATTTCAATTCTCCACCATTTAATAACTAATAAATATCTGGGGCTGGTGAAAAACGACCCAGCGCATAATGGGTTAATAGGATTTGCAATCAGGTTAGTAGGAGGGGCGGCCAGGTGCACGCCCTCTGCCACTGAAGGGGTCAGCTCCGGGAACTGCCAGCCGCCCCCCATCTCTCACCCCCTCCCTCCCCAGCCGCCTTGGTGCATTGTTTGACCAGGGACCTGTGGCGGTCAGTGAACGCGCGCCCCCGCCTGCCTGAGGGGGAGGGGTGCTGACAGCAGCAGCAGGGGAGCGAGGCGCTGTGGGAATAAGGATGGAACGTTCGGCCAATCAGGATTCGGAGAATGGAACCTCCAGCGACAATAATAAAACTCCTCGCGTGACGTCATAATGGGTGCCTGCCCGCCTCCTTTGCTCTCCCTTAGGGACAAGGAGGAGGAGGTGGGGGAAAGGGACTTCTACTTGTGTGGTGGGAAAGGGGAGTCGCCCACACGGCCACTGTGTTGGTGGGGAATTCTCCCTCCTCGGGAAGAAACCTTAGCCCTTGTTGTTGGCTCCAAGCCTTTATGCTTCCCCTCCCCCTCCTCCCTTCCATGTTACTAAACCACCAAGAGAACCGCAATGAGATGCTGCCTTCTGATAGTTTGTATCAGTTCCCTAGTCCGCCTCTTCCTTTTCTGTGTGAAATGAACTATTTCTGAGCTTTCAAACGTAAATCGGAAATTAACTGTAAGCCACAGACTTGATTGTATTTTTTTTCAATATTAAAGAGGAGTGGTGAAATGATGAGTTTAAGAGGGATTTCCATTTTCTGTGCGTAAATAAGACCGCAGTACTTGCTCATAACACCTGGAAACTTTGCTTTCAGTGGCTCATGTTCATTCTGATATTTTACTTTTGTTCCTATTAAACATGGTGATTTTTAACAAATGAAAAGGGAGTGGTAAAATTTGGGCTAATTTAGCTATACTGGGAAAAATGTCTTCAGCCATAAACACAGAAAAATGGGGATCTGGGGATACACCCAGAACGTGTATTTCGGATCAGTGGTGCTGGCATAATGACCAAGATTTATACAAAATACAGATTTGAAAAAAAAATTCAATTCAATTCTACAATGCCACTTATAATCACCTATCTTGGCAAACAAAAATGGTGATTTTTATAGTATACAGCCATTTTGTGTTAAGCCCACCACTACGTCACAGTAACTTAATATTAGTGGGTCCTACACTCATTTTAACATGGGAGATTAACATGCTAACTGCAATACTTACTGTTTAACCTGCTTTCAGAGACTCTCCTCAAAGGATCACTATAGTGTCAGGAAAACAAAGCGGTTTTCCTGACACTATAGTGCCCTGAGGGTGCCCCCACCCTCATGGTCCCCCTCCCGTTGCGCTGGTGACCTTTCCTCCCCCTCTGACATCAGTGGAGCCGAATGTGCACGCGGGCGCATTTAAAGTGTCCATAGGAAAGCATTTCTCAATGCTTTCCTATGGACGCTCTGTGTGATGGATAATATGCCTCCAGCCTCGCAGATGCGCCTTTAGTGGCTGTCCGGAAGACAGCCGCTAGAGGCTGGCTTAACCCCAAATGTAAACATAGCAGTTTCAAACTGCTATGTTTGCATCTGAAGGGTTAAAACCTGAGGGACCTGACAGCCAGACCACTTCATTGAGCTGAAGTGGTCTGGGTGACTATAGTGTCCCTTCAAGTTAGGCTTTCCAGTGGTTGCATCCATAGGGTTTAACTGGAGTGGATGGCCCAAAGATATTGGGGTACTGTGAGGTAGTTGTGGATTTAACACAATATGGCCAAATGGAGTATCTAAATCCCTGTATTCGTTTGCTAAGATAAGTGATTTTAACCCCTTAAGGACCAAACTTCAGGAATAAAAGGGAATCATGGCATGTCACACACGTCATGTGTCCTTAAGGGGTTAAATAGCGTTGTAAGATTTGCAAACAGAAGTCAGCTATGTTTTCAGTTTGGCTGCTCAGGCCTTAAACTTGACAATTTGCTTTGAATTCTCTCTATAACTGTATATTTTTTGTGTACCCTGTTCCCTTAATCTGTATTTGATTATGGTCACAGCTTGGATGGTTTAGCCTTAATTTTGCCATTCAGACTCACTTTGCTAAATTAACCTATGTGTTCTGCCTATTTCCAAGTAAGGTTAATCACTAAACCAGTGAATGTTGAGAACTAACCTGGGAATACCTTGAGTGGGAGATATTTTCTATATGGCGATTTCAATGTAAAATTTGCAAAGCCCTAGTTAATTCTTTATACTTCTTGATCTAGTAAATAACCACAAAGGACTTTTTAAAAGGATACTCCAAGCACCATGACTACTTCAGTGATTTGAAGTGGTCATGGTGCCTTAAGCCATTATGTGCAGCATTTTAATATTAAACGCCCCACATAGAGGAAGTGTAACTCCACCTCTGCAGCGTCATTGGGTATCACTTTTGGCTGACTGGTATCAATCTTGTGCAAAATTGCCACCAGCATGCTGTTGCCAGGTAGCCAATGGCAGTATCCCCTTTGTCTTCCCTTTTGACCTCACTCCCCCTCCTGCGAGGCGGATTGATATTAGCAGATGTATATCATGCTGAGGGAGAATTTAGCAAAGACACTAGATTGAGGTGAGTTTTCTTTTTTCTTAAAACAAATTTTTTTTTTTTTTAAACTATCCCTTTAAGCCAATACCTGGGTGTGCATCCTCACTGACATAACAGCAATATCATTAAAAAATGCATTAATATGATGTGAAACCGAGGTGATGGGAGCCAATAGGGAAGTCTCTATGTGTGTGTATTGCTGCTTCATAAAATAAAATCCCAGCGACACGGTTCAGTATCTGCTGGAAGCAGGAAACTGCATTTAACAGGAAGAAAAAAAGATGTCTCTTGTTTTCTAGTATTTCCTTGAAAGCATGTATAATACAGCTATAAAATCTACTGAATGAAAAATTATACACAAGATAATTAAATCCCCTGAGTTATATAATCCCTATTTTGATTTCATATACAATTTTGGCTTATCTATAATATCATGCACCACCTCCTAAAAAAAAATAAAAAAATATTCACCATATATTTTAATTTTACTCAGTTTTGAGGCAACCGTGATGACTGTATTTAGCCCCAATGAAGTGAGAACATATCATTAGCTAAGCTTATTTTTTTAAAAAGCTCAATTAAAGGCACAGTCTAAGCACCATAACAACTTCAGCCAGTTGACTCTCTCAGCCTGTTACTGGTAGTGCTTTAATCAGAATTACAATTTTGTTTTAATAAGACTTTCAGTGTTGGTAGTATATTCTATATTTTATATACCTGTTAATATAATTTGTTTTTCATTTCACATCTCCCTGTTTGATGTCAAGCAATGTACCCAAAATCATATCCTAAAAGATGGTATATAAGGGTTATATGTAAAGTGCAACACTGTGTCCTGGGCTCAAATTTAAAGTGATACTTCATTGTCCAAATACAAAAGCAAGTTTTTTTTAAAAATCACTGTTTTGTAGATTTATCCCAAATGAAAACATTTATGCATTTTTTTCATTCGAGGTATAGCTAAAACATGTTGTTTGAAGCCTTTGCAAGCCTTCTACCAACTAACTGCGCCCAGACTTTCTGTGGCTGTCCAATCACATACTTCCCAATACAGCTCGATGAGAAGTCTTTGCAAGGCAGGTGCTCTAGGCAATTTCCTGCCTCTTGAGTTTAGCTCCACTGAGCTAACCAAACCAGGAAGTAACAGAACCTACAGAGGCGGCTCTCTAATAAGGCGGTTTAGGCGGCCGCCTAAGGCCTCGCACTGGCTCGGGCCTCCCGGCCACCTAAACCACTTGAGGGCAGACTGTGTCGGGTCCTGAGTCACTGACCGAGGACCCGACACAGTCTGCCCTCAAGTGGTTTAGGTGGCCAGGAGGGGGCCCGGCGGCTTGCCCAGTATGCCGCTGGGTGCGAGGCCCCTCCTGTCTGCCCGGCCAGCCATCACAGACACCGGTCTGCAGTGAGCAGAGCTGCAGACCATGTGTCTCGCGAGTACTGGCCAATCAGAGCATTGCCGCAGGTTACCACGGCAACGCTCTGACAGGTCTTGCGAGATATATGGTCTGCGGAGCTGCAGACTGGATGTAATGGCCACCGGACCACCAGGGAGCCCACACTGGACCACCAGGGAGTAAAAAAACAGTATGCAGTCTTCCCCCTCTCCCCATCAGACCCCACTCCCTCAATATCACCCCCCTCCATCAACAACATCCCCCCTCCTTCAACATCAACCCCTCCTCCCTCAACATCACCCCCTTCCTCAACATCACCCTCCCTCCCTCACACCATCACCCCACACACCATCACCCTCCCCCCTCACACATCACCCCTCTGACCATCACACCATCACCACCCCTCTTCACACCATCACCCCCTCCTTCACACCATCATTCCTCCCTCACACCATCACCCCTCCCTCTCACCATCACCCCCCTCTCCCTCTCACCATCACCCTCCAGCAACATCTCCCTCCAGCAACATCACCCTCCCTCAACATCACCCCCTCCCTCAACATCACCCCTTCCTCACCATCAAACCCCCTCCCTCACCATCAACCCTCCCTCACCATCAACTCCCTCCCTCAATCACCTCCCTCTCACCAATCCCCCCCTCCCTCCCTCTCACATCACATCACCCCATCACATCTTTTGTAAAATGAAAAAAAGAGGACACTTGCAAGCTGAGGTGCTTTAGAGGTCTGGAGTGTCTCTTTACTATTTTTGATTAAGCTTTTCAAATGATTTTGGATTTTTGCATAAACCTTAAAATTATTTAATATTACACATCACTTCATTGCTACTGAGTGGAAACAGACCACCCACCCCATCGACAGCAGATGTGAAAGAGTTGGTGATCCGCAACAATTCATATGAATTTCGGAGGGCTTATCCACTATCCCAAAAACAAAATACTTATAAAATTTGGAGGGGTTGGAACAATAGATGACATGTGAGAGATTCCCTTGTAGGGCAAGCAGGCCCTCTGTTATGCTTTTTTTGTGTTTATGCTACTTGTATCATTTGCCTATGCTACTTTTGGGTATACAACCATGTCAGCCCAGGCACTGTACCTGTACGTTGAGATGCCAAGTCCATTTTTATTTTTTTTATTTTATTAATCATTTCTGTAGCACCCAATATGTTTGTTTCAACTTTGTCATTAACTCAATAAAAAATATTTAATATTATGAAAAGTATAAAAAAAAATATTTGGATTTTTTGATATATTTTTTATATTTAGTTAATCCAAAAATATTAATTTGAAAAGCTTATCCAAAAATATTAAATTGAGATCTCGTTTTGAAAATTGCATAAATAACATAGCAACTGATTGAACATGCAGGTTGATTAGGTAATTTTTAGACTTTTGCACTCCATTTTTTGTTTATTAATGTTGCCATGTCGTTTTATTGTGCCATATTCTGTATACTCTGTAATTCCATAGTTACCTTACAATTAAATATAGTCTTTTTTTATTTTCTATGTTGCAAAAGAGAAAAATGGTCATTTGTTTAAAAAAAATAAAAAAATAAACCATTGTGCACTACTACCTCACAGCCCAACTAAGCCAAATCATACACTGGCACTCACCCCCAGAACTTAGAATATAGGATATCTATTAACAGGGGCTGACTTACCCCAGTTCTACATATGGGTCCCTAAAGCCCATAGGGCACTACTGCCTACGACCTGCCCGGCTATACGCAACTCCATCCAGATAAGGGACCAGACAATACAGAAATATGCCCTGGGGAGGGTCCCTTTCCCAATGACACCTGTTCTTAGAAATAGGCTGTTCCTACCAGGGTTGAGGGCAAGAGATTTAAAGGGATAGAAGCTA